TCACTTTGTGACTGTGCAATGCCAAGCACAATATGGTCTCAAGGAGTTTTCCATCTTAGACTTTTTTTTAAAAAAGACAGGTAAACTAACACACCAGAGTATCTGACAGATTTAGGAAAAGTTTGGCTCTAATTATGAGGGCTCTATTTGTTTGCTAACTAGGCCGAGCTCTGCAGCTGCCTTTTTGCATATTTTCAAAGATTTTCTGAGGAGTCTCCGTGAAAAGACCATCATTCCTCTAAAAATACCTACCTATTCCACTTTTTCTTAGTGAAACAACATAGAAGCAAACATTTAGGCTAATACCATGAAATGTGACTGCAAATGTGTGGGTTTCCTTGGTGTGGGGGGGTTATTTTGGTTTTGTTGTTTTGATTTTTCCTGATAAAATACCAGGTACAGCTGTTTCCCAGGTACAGTCTTCTGCAAACCTTAGGAATTGTTTTAAAAAGCTCTGCTTTCAGGCAGCTGTCGATTGGATTAGTGCCTTGCAGACCTTTTAATGGCGAGCTAGATGCAGCGATCAAGCTTGCCAAAGTCATGTTAAGGGTAAAGAGAAGACTGATTTCCTATATAATCTCCTTTTTAATCACATTGCCACCCGAAAGCTCCCAGCTGTTCTGAAATTTCAGTCCTGTGATTTGAACATCCCCCATGGCTGTAGATACCATAGCAATGCCACATTAGCTCTGAAGAACAACAAAAACATTGTAATCAACATTCAGTTTGGTTTTTAAATGCAAACATAGCAGGGTGTTTCAATGCCTACTTCAATGCCAGTAGGAGCTGGTAGCCCTCCTTGGATAGTAATTGTCTATTTACATGTAAATTTTGTGGCACTGCACTGCAGGGTGCATGCCAAGAACCAGGGAAGACATCAGGACTAGACTTTGCCAGGTTGTGAAGCATCCCTGACCCATACACAAGGAAGTAACAATTCCTGTTTGATAGTGCCTTAATGAAAATATAGACTCTCCTTTTTCCTTTGCTAAAAGGTGTTTCTACAGTTTTTCAGACACTTCAAACATACCTTGCAAAAAATTAATTGAATTAAATTTGGTCTTTCTAAAAATTCTACCCTCAAATAATTAACATCTATATAATATTATGTAGCATTCTCAGAGCAGTGTTTATGTGTTTTCTTCAACGTAATTCAAAATAATGACATTAGACAGCAGAAGAAAACTTCATAGATAAGAAATTTTCACGTTCACCATCTGTGGTCCCTCTGCCAAACTGAAGTCCCCTCTACTCATGCTGCATTTGTGGGAGAGCTTCTGACTTCTGACTCTAGCTCATGTTTTTCAGATTGATCAGTTTAGGATGAAACAACAGTCTGTATTCCTTGGTCAGCAGCTTTACTTCATACTAAACTTTGACTTTTCACATTTTGCCTTTGTTCTGAATCGATTTTAAAATATTTTAAGAGAAATTAACATTTTATGGAAATAACTCTTTTTCTGTACTGTAGTTCATAGCAAACAAGAAGGAGTTGCACATCACAAGGACATCATATACTACCTCAAATCATGGGATTTGTGGGATGTGTGATACCATTCTTACGACTGCCACAGGATAAGAACATAAGCAGTTAACAATATCTCTTTATAAATTCTGAATATTGAAGTGATTTAAAAGTGTCATTAGCATTAAGTGAATGAAAAACTGAAAAATATATCTCAGAGAAGACCCCACTTGTGACATCCACTGCTATAAATTAAGGGTTTTATATATGTATGCAGTCACATGCATTTCTTTATCCTTAGTAAAATCTTAATAAATGCTTGCTTGCTGCTTCATGCCTTCACTTAATAAATAACAATGTGAAAAGTCTTTACTTGAAGGAACTTGCTTGATCTTTCTAAGAAGATAATTATTTGAGAATTTTCAGTAATCTGGAAAATTATCTGTTCTAATGATATTTAATTCGTAACTGGATTGAAGTTAGTCATGGTTGAAGTTAGTCATGGTACTCAGATTGGTTTTTTTCTTTAAGGGAAAAGCACAATGTAAAGGCCATGACTGAATTGGTGAGAGTAGAGATGGCTGTATTAACCCAGTGAAAATTTAGCAGTCAAAATCTGTACATCAGCTCCAACTGTACTGATCAAAGCTAAGCAGGGATACAGAAAACTAACAAGAAAAATAAGAGATCTAGAGGCACTACCAAATTTACCCAAACAGTTCCTGCAAGTAAACAGAAATAATAAGGAAACACGTTTTACTTCAGGGACTCAGGCTCCTAAAGATGATGCTCTTCTGCAATACTAAAAAAATTACACATTTATGGTCTTGAAGGAAAAGGAGCTCAAATATGATCACATATGACCACTAGTGGTGTGAAAAGTATGAGTTTGCACTGTAAGAATAGCTTATAGAAGCTACTCTAATAAGGTAAGTGGTAGGATAATTGGAAAATATTTGTCAAACATGTTATTAAAGTAGGAATTTATTTTACAAACAAACTGGGCCTGTAAACCTGAAAAGTAAGGAATAAAATAAAAAGAATAAATAGATGGAATAATTATTAACATGAATTTTCTCACTTTTATTAGACAGTTTCCCATGAAAAATGAGGAATTGGGGGCTGCAGTAACATATATTACATACAGATATTACTGCTGCTCTTCCATATTGCAATGGAAGGAGATGGAGACATGAAGAATTTCAAAGACTGCATTTCAGAAGCTCTTGGGAAGAGATTTGTGCTGTTTTCCAGAGTAACTTAAAAAAACTTCTGTTACCCAGGGAGGAAATGTAGTTTCCTTAGTTGTCATGAATGGACAATGCACATCCACTTTTCATTATTTTTAATTTTTTTTAATAGTCAAGGTATTTCTATTATAGTTTCATCATAGTTTTTGTAGAGGTTTAATTTTTTATCATCTTAATGTGATTGAATGCATTCTTAGCTTATATAAAAATACTCAGAAGTTTACACAATTTATTAAATGTAATGGTATGTTCCTCCTTTTCCTGTATTATCCAGCTGTGAGGTTTTTTTCCATAGTCAAAAAAGCGAAGAAGCTTCCAGCCTTCCCTTTCCACAGAAAATTTACATGACCATGTCTGTACCACAGGGAAAATAAATGTAATACTGAGTTTGAGTCATGCAATTTGTCAATGTAATTAAAATAAATGGAATCACTCTGCTTTTTGGATGTTTGTTAGGACTGTGGCCAGCACAAGACATGATAAGCACTGTAAATGATCTCTGTGGCCGGGAAGATGAAATTCAAATTTTAGCAATTCCAGCCTGACACAAAGGGCATTTTGCCCACTTAGGGGAGATAGGAATTATGTTTCTGTGCTTCATGATTTTCTTTATAGGGTGAGGACTGGTTAGGTAGTACCCCTTTTGGACAGCAGCATGAAGGACAGTAAAAGTGATGCTATGCCATTTGGTCAGTGTCAAATATTGTATGTTCCCTACAGAAGTGCTGTAGGAAGCAAACACCCCACACTGTCCTATGATCTCCTGTCAGCCTTAATGACTGCTTTGTTTGTTTTCCTCTTAAAGGCAGAGTTGCTTTGGGGTTGGTTTATGGCACCATTCCTCATGGCAGCAGAGTGGCACCAAGGAGCTGCAGTGCTGGTGGGGAAGGGTTTGGATGGGCCCTTTCCTAGAAGGATTGAGTGTTGAGGGACTGCAGAGTGTCCTGGGGGCTGGGACTCTGGGGGAGCTCATCATGGTCTCAGCTTTCATTAGTGCTAACGTCAGTGGTTTTGTCCACAGCCACTGGTGTGTCAGCCATAACTAGATTTAAACGCTTCACTAAACTTCTGCTTGTTGATGCTCATCTTTTCCCACTATGTCCATTGGCAGCTGCATCAGAAATTGTGGCAAAGGGAAATTTTAAAGAACAGCAAAGTTTGACAGGCTTTGGGGCGGATATTTTCTTTACAGACAAGATACTTTAAAAAATGCAATAAAATTTAAGTGTATTTTACTTTGATTTCTGCTCCTATTGCTCTAGCTCAGGAAACATTTTAGTTTTGAACAATCACCATAACTTAGCAGATGTATCTGAACTCCTGAAAAACAAAATATTCCTTGGAGAATAATTTTCTTTTTGTCAGTTCAAAGACAGCTTATTAAATTCCTATTAAATGCTGTAAGTATTATGGGATTCAGGAAGGAAATGTAAAAGATTTGTAAAGTTAAAAAGTATATTTATTTAGAACTGTGAGTTTAGTGACAACTGTTGTTTGCTCTAACAATGATGAAATGTAGGCTGCTGCATCACTTGTGATGGGCAGTTTGATTGTTATACAGACATAAATCATGGCAGGATTCGATCATTCCTGAGATATGCTGACATACTGCAGCTTGTGCATAACCACTGTTCTCAGCTGTAGTCTCTATTCGCTGTTTTTCTTGTAATACTGAATTGATATCAAAGGCAGGCACTGCAGTCATCTACAGCGATCTTTTTCACCTGGATTGTTGCACGTCCATCAGTAAATTGTAAATGCTCTAGGAAAACCTGCCTTGGCATGTCACTCCCGTGTCAGTTTATTACAGAGTAGAGGATGATTCTGAAAAGCAGAATAGTGAAATGTAAGGTTTTCTTTGGCTTTTGTCATATTAGGATCTAATATTTATGTGTCATGTGGTATGTTGCAGTTATTCTTTGCTCCTTTCCTCTGCTAATGTCAGAAAAAATAGACGCAGTAACCAGGGGGTTAAATTCCCACTCAACAGGCATATTTTTGGTTTCTGTAAGGGAGCTGTGAGTGGAGCTCAGTGCTTTGCAGCGCAGGGCAGCACTCCGGGACAGAAGCAAGCATCCAAGGGAAATGTGGCTGGCAGCAGACATCCATGACGGGAACGAGACACTGTACCAGCTCTTCCAGTTTCACAGGGACCTCGCGTTTTCCAGCTGTTTACCCTTGAGATGTAAAATGGCAATTTGGCATAGGCTAACAGCCCGGTGTGATGTGAGCATCTGCGTAAAAGGCTGCACATATGGAGCATGCCCAGTGGTATGAACAGCCTGTTACCCCACCCCCAGCCAATCTAGGAAGAGATGAAATGAACTTTGCACTTGCAAATGTCACTGAATACATTTTGCACAGGATTTTAAAAGGTTCTTTTACAAGCACTATTTTTAACAGCCAAATCCGCCCCCCAAAACAGAAGGGAAAAAGCCCTAGGTATTTTTCTGTGATCGATCTCAGTTTATGATCAGCATCTCTCACAATATTTCTGAAGCTGGTTTTATTTTATGCTTTTATCATTGAAGTTGAGATTTTTGGAGGTGGTGTGGATTTTTGGGAGTTTTTTTGAATTTTTTTTTTTTCTTTTTTTCCTACTGGCATGAGAAAATTTGAGAATTTAATTGCAGTAGAATACTTGGAAACAGTGAGGCTGGAAGCTTGAAAGGCAGAGGGAAGAGAAGGAAGGCTCTCACAGCAGAGCATGGATAGGAAAGGAGCTGTGATTCTGCAGTGCTCAGTGTGCACATGTTTTATGAGATCAGTGCCGGGCGCTGCAGCTGCGGACACTAACTGAGCTGTCTGGCTAATGAAGGCCACCTGGATCAGGCTTCTGAAAAGAGCCAAAGGAGGACGTCTGAAGAATTCTGATATCTGTGTAAGCCCTGCGTTTTCCTTATCACCTTATATTGTATGTATTGCTAAGAGGGAGAGAAAAAAGGCGGTGAGGAGAGGACAGTTGTTTTCATTCTGATTGAATTACCAGAACACTGTTTTGTATGCAGGGTGATGCAGAGGGAAAGCAGAGCTGTCATTATTTATAGAGCTTTTCTGGCATTGTGGCTGCTTCCATTGTGGTGATACAGGGACATGTGTTGAGTCCAGACGGATTTTATTAGTTGGAAGTTGATTTGTGGTCATTTGCATGTTTTGCTGAGGGGCAGAGATGGATATGAGCCATTTGCTGTTCCGATGGGGAAAGTGTGTCAGGTAAAGCGGCTGCCCTAAAATAAAAATGCATAGCAGCAGTACAATATCTTAGCAGTGATATTGTGTAATGGTAATTATTGATACTGAATTTCCATTTTGATTATAGAAAGTCTGTTTGCTTGCTATTTCTGTCACTGTTTAGAGTTCTAATTTTTATGGAGCCATCCTTGAAGCTGCTGTGTGTCCTTCAGCCCTGCACTGCACCAGTGCTGTAACTCTCCAGAGAAACTGGCTCTGCTTGCTGAAAAGCACACAAATAGGAGTGCAGAGATAGAGCAGGAAGTAAAACACTGGAGAAGACACTTGCACTTTTTGAAAGTTTCCCAAAGAAAATGTTTACCTAGCCTTATTTTCTACTAAGTGAATTTCCCTTTTGGGCGGTTAGTCTCTTTTCTGGGATGCAGAAGTAAGAGAAAAGGCAAGGTGTATAACCACTTCTACTTTATTTTATTATTTTTTTAAACATTGAGGGAACTTGTGACATTATTTTTCCTTCTCTTTTGCAGGGTTCGGCGGACTCCTACACCAGCCGTCCATCTGATTCAGATGTATCTCTGGAAGAAGATAGGGAAGCAGTGCGGAGAGAGGCAGAGCGACAGGCCCAGGCACAGCTGGAAAAAGCAAAGGTAAGGTGTTGTTTCATGTTACAAACTCACAAAATGCTCGGCTTTAAAGCAGGGGTTGAAACAAAATGATTTTTAAGATCCATTCTAACCCAAACCATTCCATGATTCTTTGTCTTCTCATCCATTAGTGATAAAATGTTTTTAATGTGTTAACATACAGATTAGATCTCTTATAAATATTCCAGACAGCATTTGAAAATACATGCTCCATGAAAAATCACTTAGAATCAGTTTTCTCTGTAACAGGCACTCCACTGACTTATGTATTTCAGAACATTCTTATTTAAATGTGTGCATTTCTTCTTTTATTAAGTATACACATTTGTTGCAGGGTATAGAGTCAATGATATGACTTCTTACTGAAGATGTAACTGAAAGTTTGCTCATGGATTCCCAGGGCACTTAATGCTTTTACAGTGTCAAAAATCAGCCCTCAAACATCCTGTTCATCTCACATCAATGAAGGATCAGTCCCTACAAGTCATATGTAAATAGGGAGAATCTGTTACAAGGGTGTTTTTTTCCTAAAAACTACACTGACTTTCTTTACAATCTGTGTGCTGAGTTACCCCATGGGTCATGTGCTGTAGGTCTTCAGATTTCTCCTCTCTCCATACTGCTGGCAGATAGTGACAATGTAGTAAGAAAATACTAAAGGAGCTTTAGGTTTTTGCTTTCTGTTTATGTGTTTTCCATGAGATGTATTTAGGACTGTGAAGCTTTTAGCAGTGAAAGTGATGGGCTTGTTTCTCTTTCATCTGTGCTCCATCTTTAAATAATACTGCACCTGTAAAAACTGTGCTCATCTTAATTATTATCATTCATTTATCACTTCATTCCAGTTTTTTGTATGCTACCTGCCAGGTTTAAATGCATTACCGTTTCTCAAAATCTGTTTTTTGTTCTAATATATTTAAATACACCATTGAGATCCCCCCTTTGATCTACCTGATCTACTTTTTTCCCTCACTTTCTCTCTGAGTCCCCTCCTCCATTTTGCCTTGTTTTTTTAATTCTTTATCTCCTTTCCATCTTCTATTCCATTCAATTCTCCACCGCCAGCTTTACCTCTGCCCATTTATGCCACCTGTTTTACAAGGGCTTTTCAGAAATCTGTGAGTCCAGATCACTGAGCTCTGTAGCTGATGGTGTGGTGAGGACCAGCTCTCTTGTTAAATAATACAGTACTATACGCACAAGCAGACATCTTCATCAGGCCAGAAAACCTAAATAGGGAAGCCAAAAATGGTTTTTTGAAAATGTAATTGGTAACTGATATTTAATAAGAGCTCCTACAGCAGCTTTTTAATGAGCTGCTGGAATGTGCCAAATGTAGGAGATGCTGAACATCTCTTTGAAGTTGGTTCTTGCTGTTCTGGGATCAGTGTAGCAGAAACTCAACAGAAGCAGCTCACTTCTTCCCTTCAGCCTTGTATCTCAGAGATTGCTGATTGTAGTCAGGAGCTTCAGTTTTATCAGGGGTGGGTTTTGCTAGTTTGAGGTTTTTTTGCTCCTGGGAAAGATGATAAGGGCTGCCCTGAAATTCAGGTGAAGTTTTGAATTTTATCAGTAAATGCACAATCTTTAAAAGAGGAGTTGAAGTAATAGTATCTTGCAGACTAATCAGGGTAGCAGTGCAGTGCTTACTGCTGAACTGATGCATCCCTTAGCAATGAGTAAATCTATGCGAGTGTTGCTATGGGAATTTGGCTTACTGATGCTGGCTTGAATACATGGACAGCCCTTATGTAATATTCATGACCTCTAGCACAGCTGCCATTGTAGTTTGTAGAGAAACTGCTAGCAGACCTTGACTTCTAAAAGCTGTATTTCTATACATAAAACCAATGTTCCCACTCCAGCTGGCATGAGATATAGTCTCTAGGTCTGACACCGTCTGAAGCTGTAAGACAACTTGTGAACAGTCAAAGTAGTAAAGGCACTGCCAAAACCAACCTGCTGTAACAATTGTTATTCCAGTCATAGAAAACACAAAATTAGTTATTTAAATATTTTTTCCTTTAAAATTGATTGAGGCTGGAAGTGGATTAGCATTTTTGTTTCTCTAGTCAAATGTTAATAGGCATTCCAGGATGTAATTTATGGAAACAATTTTATGTAGAGGCTGTAGCAGTATAATATTTAGTCTAGTGTAGTATTTAAATTAATACTACTAAATAAAATATTATGTACAACTGGTGCTTTTGTTTGAAATAATTGGTTAAAAATGTGTTTAAATTAAGCCTAACTTGGTAGATGTAAAATATGACAGGGTGTGTTTTTTTGCCTTTATTGGTGGTTTAGTTCATCACTTCCCCAAAACGTGGTAAAATTAATAAAGCAATATTTGCTGGTGGTGCCTCCTGGCTGCTGTCAGCCCCCAGACCTGTTTGCCACAGGCTGCAGGTTCACTGCCTGCTCTCCAGGGCTTCCTCGCCTTTGCCCTGACCGACTTCAGGCAGAGCCAAGTGACAGAGCTGCTTTAACTTTTGCCTTTTCTCATGGTGAGAGGAAGTGTTGCTCCTAAATAAAATCATTACAAATGTATTTGTCATAGGAATTGGAAGAGGGTGACACACATGAATAATGCAGTGATGGAGGAAAGATGATAGTGAATTAAGGGTAGATAAAAAACTATTGAACTGTGTCACACAGTTAATGAAAACAGTTAAATGACATCCATTTTCCTTTATTACAGCTGGGGAAAACACCTTAAAGTGAAGACAAAAATATAGTGACAGAGAACACAGTGCCAAATTGTTAGGACAATTTTAAGATTTTAAAATTTGGATTTTTATAGCATCTAAGTGTCTATGTGACATAAAGCTGGAATGTATTTCTGATACCTATCCAAACAGGGAAAATAAAAGCAAATAAGCTTGTAAGGAAATGCACGTTCTGGCCACTTTTATTTATTTCCTTCTTTATTTAATACAGGCATTGCTTTTCTGGAGAATGGTTAAGCATATTTTGCTGACTCACTTTGGCATGTGACTTACTGTAAGGAAGGTGGGGCCATGGGCGCATGTTCAGAGTCATCCAGGGACAGAAAATTAAGAGGCAGCTGATGAGGCTACCTGTAGGCCAAGCATCTGCTCCTGAGGGAAGAAGATCTGAAATGAAGCTGTTAAGCTTGAAGCTGAGATGAAATGTTCTTGATTAGAATAGTTTAGCAATAAAAATGCAAAAAGGCTGGGATTTGGTTTTTTGTTGTTACTTTTGTTGGTTTTAAATAGGAAAAAAAATATCAAGGCATTGAGGATTTCCTCAGTGTTCTCACAAACCATAACATGTGCGTAGTCTAGGATAAAAAGAGAGGACCTGTGTTGTGCCCGGGTAGGGTATGCTAATAGTATCCAAATCTAAGGACTTCTGGTGGTCTTTCCTGAGTTTGCCATTTCCACAAAAACATGAATCTTCAGCACTGACAAGCCAAAAAAATAATGTCTTTAATTGTGTTTAGCACTAATAATTTAAGAATTGTCATTTCTATAATCGAAAAAGCTTTTTAGCTGTTGAAGGATGATGATTCAAAATAAAAGGTAGTAAGTAAAGTGGTTTTTTTGTCCATTCTTTGCAAGTATTTAATTAAATATTCCTTAAAATATTGCATCAGGTGGGAGGGATGAGATCAAAGGAAAACTGAAGTACAAGTAATAATAAGAACTTGCAATCCAGTACTAATTGAGCTAAAGTTTGTACGTGAGAAACAGGAGACTTCAGAAATTTTTGGCCTTCTCCAGTGCTGGTAAAATCAGTTCACATATTCTATTGATTTGTTTTGCCACACGTATGTCATATATTTTGAATCTAGTTTTTGACTGAGATATAATTAGCCAGATGTTCTGTAAACCTTTCTTCTCTTCTGCAAAAGTAGCTTCTTTCTTTTCTTCAGGCTCTTCAGATTTTTATATTTTGCCTTTTTTCCTCCCATGGCTTTAGAGCTCCTTATTTAGAAACAGTTTCAACAGAGATCTATAGAATATTTTCAGCATTTTAGAAAATGATTTTTTTTTCAGTTATTTCTAAGTACATTGGGTACAGAAAGTGCCAGTTAAGAATTCAGGTTCTGTTTCTCATCTGGGACTAAGGGACAGCTCTTTGTTCTCTGTTAAGATTGTTCTCAACATCCTGGGGTCCTAAAACTTCTTAAAAGACTACCAAAATCAGACTGTGGCCTTTGAGAAGTCAGTAATTGTTTTCATAATAGGAAATCTCACTTCCCCTCAACTCTGCTTTGTTTGCACTCCGCCTAATGCTCCACTGCTAGCATCCTTTTAGGAGTTTGTAAAAATTTGAAATATATGTAGTTCTAGTTTTAAATGCTGTTAAAATATTTTTTATGTTAAGATGGTGACCCACTGAAATTTTGATACAACATGTCCCTTTTTCTGGGTCTGAAGCAATGATATAAGCTGTCACATTTTGCTTTTTTTGATGTCTGCTGTAGTAGTGGTGATGGCTTGTGACTGTGAGTAATAATGCAATGTGTTTAATGTAATGCATTGCCTCCATGCATGGTTTGGGGACCACAGCTTTGAAATGTGTAGCAGGCTGGGATAATGCCTACATAGCTCCGCGAGGCTGAGGGCATGAAAAAGATTGTCAGATGTAATTATCCAGTGCGGTGTGCCAAGACTAGTTATTTGAGTATTTATTCACTCTCAGACAGGTTTCACAGCCTCAGAATGACCCCATGCTGCTAGCAGGCAGCTGCAGAGCTAGTTGAGGTATGTCTGCTGAAGCTGCAGTAGCATTTTTGACAGGCCAGAAGTGCCCATCACCTTGATGTGCATCCTTATATTATGTCAGCTTGTTCCCTCATGGATATTCTTTCTATTTTCTCTCAATTACCAGAACTTCATGGTGCTGAATAGCATACAAAGCTATAGCAACACAGGACAGTACAGTTAACTGCTGTGTGTGGTAATATTTTTTTCATTGATTTCTTCTCATTTGCCCTTTTGTTTTGGAATATTTTTTGTTGCATGTAATCATTT